TGGGAGTGGAAGTAAGTGTAGGAATGAGAGTGAGAGTTAGAGTAGGAGTGATGTGAGGTGAGAGTGTTGCGGCAAAGTAGCACTTACAACACAGATCGGCTGCCTTAAATTCGCCCTTACATAAATTAATAAACAGCCTAAATAATTAAAAATTCTACCCCAAGTCACTATTCCACGCGGACGAAGTCGCGGGCACAGCTAGTTACCAATACTTTTTAAAATTATGATTATTATTCTCTGTGGAGGGTTGCAGTGGAAACCAGTGTCTACTACGTTGCAATAAAGTCACATTCAGCATGCACACACAATTACTGCATTATGTTAAAACCTTGTGTGTATCGTGCCAAGTTTGGGTATCTGGTGTCGTGCAGCAAAAAGTTGGGCCCGCTTTTTGCGCGACCCAAGAGCTTACCGCTTTCAATCATTGGAAGTTAGGGGGACTTGGGGCTTCAATGTTTGTGGGGATAATGGAAATTAAGTTTGGAGGATTTTTCCATCGGCACAAAAAAATTGTTTCTTACAAGAAAGATTGTTAGTGAAGCATTTAGTATTTTAGTTGTATGCAGTGTAAATCTTGTTTTTTAGTGTTAATTTTAAAACCTAGGTAGTGTTGTCTTTTCTTGTAAAGTAGGTTTATTTTAAATGTGAACCAGAAATGGGAAGAAACCCTTATCTAGTTCCTTAATAACTTCTAGTTCATTATTTCTGACCGTTAATTTACTAAATATGATGGTGCAACAACTCTCTTGTTGTAGCGACAGCTAAGTAACATCCTCCCACAACAAAGTATTTATATGTTAATTATGACATATTTTTTATAATATTCTAGAATCTTGTATACGCACTTAAGCGTGGAAAATGTAATTAAAAGTTTTTATATAATCCACAAAAATATTATATATGTATGTATCGAAAGGGCTGTAAGTTTAATAATAATGTAGTAAGTAGTTTACGCGAGTAGTACACCGCCATTGTCTCCCCGTAAAACGTCGGACCGAATGAAATAATTTTCAAATAAATTTATCTAATATATTTCGCGTTTTAAACCGTTAAATTGATTGAAATGTAATGCAATGTTAATATTTAACCAGTAAACCGCGTCTTTAGCAGCTTAACCTATTTTTACAGCCTCTTGGTTCAAAATGAACTACACATATACTTGAATACACATAAACCGATATCCTGTCACACACACCAGTCTGTCCATACCTTTACTTCTTTATAACCTGTGGTTTATATTAAAATCTCTGTATATTATAATTCTTAAGCCGCACTAAGCAAATGGTATATATATACTAACGATATCTTTAGTGTGTTAAGTCGTAATTATATTGAACAGAAAAAACAAAATGGCCGCCGCTTCGGTACAGCGTCATAAACACGTTTAACAGTACATTTTCGACAAACAAAACAATAAACAAAGGAGCTAAGACTGTAAGGACACACGACGCTTTTAACAAAACACGTTTTTCAAGTGAAAAATAACTTTTAAACGGTACGGCGCTCTACGACTCTATTGTATACAGAAATCGTACAAAATCCTTTTTAAGTGTCGCACTTTTATATTATTTTTATGACAGACAGGCATAGGGTCCACTTGATGGGATGTGAAATATCTCAGCCATATAACAGCTGAACACGATGGGTTGTCATCCTATTTTGGCCTCGGAAATCCGCCTGACACCGAAAGGCGATTACGCTTTTAGACTTTTTCATGTGTACGTTTAGCCGTTAGGATTTTCACATATCATTTGAAAACTTTATTAATTAATATATGTTATTGCACATGAAGGCACTTATATAATTTAAAAATCGACAATAAATTGAAAAAAATTCCGACTCGAATTTTTTCGACGATGAGGTGTAGGTCTCTACCAATTGAGCTACCGTGTCCGAGCAACAGCACGGAACGCTGACGATGCCGGTTCAAGTCCTGCCCGAGTATTTTTTTTCCGATTTTTACATTACAATATTTTCCAAAAATTTAGACCAATTTTTCTAAAAGAGTATACATTGATTTAAGAAACATTGGGGAGTCAAACGCACGACCCGTTGATTAGCACACAACCCTTATATGTAAAATTGATTGTATGGATTTTGGTTGCTTAAATATCCATTCCCACTCCAAACGTACCACAATAAATGTGAAGAGTAAAACATTTTCTGACTGCAGAGTAAACTACTCGGAAGCTTTGCAGCAGCCACAGTACCGGAGGGTCTGCTGCAACGCACCCGAAACGTCGGACTGTAGGTAAGTTAGAATAAACTAATAGATATTGCGTTTTAAACCGATGAAAGTGTTTTATTTAAATGTAAACTATAGACAATATTTAGACTAACAGTTTTATTATTTGTAACCTCCATTTTTTGATAAATCTTGAGGTTATAGGAATGCCTTAGATTAGGTATATATGAGTCACTGTCCGTTTCTACGCACTGTGGCGACAGGATACGATGGCAACGAACTATGCCCGTATAGTATAGCACCTGGCGCGAACAAATGTCGCCTACGAGGGTACGCAATCTGTATGTTTGTACTTTTTACACGGTACAAGGAACTGGGGCCGTCCTGTGTGTCTTTTTGTTCAAATACTGTGACGTTTCTCATATTTAGACACATATCGTTCAGTAGACGATTTGAAAAACCTTATGAAATTTAAATAAAACACTTTAACGGTTTAAAACGCGATATATTAGTTAAACTTATTTGAAAATGATTTTTAACTTCGGCCCGACGTTTCTGATGCTTTGCAGCAGCCGTGGTCACGGGGAGACTTCAAACCACGGCTAACTAATATATCGCGTTTTAAACCGTTAGTGTTTTATTTAAATGTGTACTACTCGCGTAAACTATAGACAGTATCTAATCTTATGAAATATAATAAGATTAAAAATAAACGATGACACGCCCGGGACTCAAACGCAGCTATTATGAAAGTACCGTCTCTGCTTACAGGCACGGACAATGTAAATTCAACCTTAATACTTTGCATGAAGCTTCATATTTATTTTTTCCAGCGTAAGAATTCATTTGTTTTAAAATCTCCAAGTTTAATTAAAGTATAAGTAACCACACTTCAACAAAACGGCTCGACAGATTTTAATGAAATTATTACTAATTACTATACGCATATTTAGTAGGAGTAAAAATTAAGCGCGACAACCCATTTTTCATACCCCTAAGCGATAAGAACAGGGTTTAACATTGACAATTAACGAAATGTAATCAGTAAATCAATTTTTTGATCCACGTGGACGGGGGATTTTTTTTAATACATCGCGTTTTATACCATTAAACGTTTGTAAGTATTGTCTGTGGTTTACGCGACAAGTAGGTACATAACTATTAAAACACTTAGCGATATAAGGACCCCCCCATCTTTTACATACTTATATAGGGCAGTCCACCCGTGACCATGTGATCTGAAAGTAAACTCGAATCTTGGTAAAAAAATAAACGCATATTTTGCCTTACAACCCCTTGAAAGAGTTTCGTTAAAGCTATGAAATTACCGCAGCCCTATCTTTAGAAGCATCACGATGCACGCCCATCCAAAAGCGGACAGCGCGTCACGGCTTAACCAGTCGTGTGAGCAAAAAAAATTGTCGAGCCACGCTGCGCCGGCGCAGGTAGCCCGACCTTCGGGTTCAACGGCCCGCCGCCCTAAATATAGTGTACACGGATGCGAATGTCCATCTTTTTCGCTTCACTAGAGTATCCTCTTTCAGTTTTTGCCCTATCAAGGCTCCTATAGTAGCGCTCAGTGTGGGAGACACAGTTCTATGACTGTTGTCACTGATGTATTATGTGTATAGATAAACAAATGACTTGTAGGCCTTCATAATATGGGTGGAATGATAAGCAAATGATGTAGACTGATTACCCTTCTATAGGTAGTCCTCGTCCACCCCAAAAGCCTTAATGAGTAAAACGTAAAAGTACTCAGTAAGTTTTGGTTATGCGGCCATCATATTTGATGACATGATGATCTGGGTAATTGTTCCCGAGTTATGTGTCCCCCAAGAGGCGAGCACAAATTGGGAATTGATTCTGGATCTTATTCAAAATTCTCATATATACAAACCAAGATGACTCGAGGTACGATCATTAAATTGTATACTTTTTTGAGAAGCTAAGTTGTTATATAAAAGTTAATATAAAGGTGAAATCGTCTATTAAATAATCAAAATTCTCCCAAAAACAAGTTTTACATTTTATTTTTAAGTTACATAACGGTGATATCTAACTAGAGTAACAGATTATGTCACAAGTCATTTATTTTGCAACAATATATGTATGTACATACAGAGATAACATTACAAAATTTCCACAATCACTTAGAATTGATAGAGTGAGGAAAATTGCTTGAACAAAACACATGAGAGTGATCAAACATCTGTGCTCTTTTATCAGTGTCCTCGCATAAAATATTAAAGCTGAGCTCATTACAATGGCAATGTTCCTAAACTATTCAAGTTTATATATTTATATGGCAATCATTTCATAAATTTCTGTACAAAGTTTACTGTAATATTTTTGTTTTTAAGTAACAAACTCTGCATAGACTCCAGATGGGCCTTCTGTCCAGAACACGAGTATAATCAAATTAGTTTTAAAGTTTTTTAATAACATTATTTAATACAAGAATAAATTATTAAATCATTAATAAGGGCACTTACCCTGCTACTACATGTATACAAAGTACATACTCAATGTAGCACACATTTACATAACTTAAAACCTTGCTGAATTAATGATTATGAGAAATCCATATAGGACCATACAGAAGCGACCACCGTCGATTTTGCAGCTTGCTTCTATGAAATAGCACATTTAACGATCACCAACGGACATTTTCCACGATATAATACGACACATGTAAATATTTATCATATCGACTACAACGCACGCAAGTATGATAATTGGCTAACGTCATACGTCGCGTAATCGCTTAAATATGCGTAACTTTCATGGTGGAGAGTGAATTTCAGTCAATTACCTGTAGTTCTGTTCGTAGTCCCAGTATTCCTTGTAGCGAGGGTGCCAGCGCGGGCCCCCGCGCGAGTAGGGACGTCTAGAGCCCCCTTGGCTCATTGTGCTTGCGCCATACCTTATTGATCTGCGCCAAGTCTGCGGGCGACCACCCGCTATCCGATTATCAGAAAACACGAGAATCCACAAACACACTGCACTGCGACACTGTCACTATGATCTATTTAATATTTTTAACAATCGGGACTCCAGCGGAGCCCTACGCTTTTGTTTTGAGACGACTGCAATGGCGCGAAGCTCGCGCGAACTGAATGATGTGAGACGTACGAACGCAAGCGCGACAACTTCACGGAATTAATTAATTCTCAACGCCCCCTGGCGGAGGTATATGGTATCGAATATGAATGCGGCCGCCAAATGTAGTTAAATTAAATAACGACTATTTATTTATTCAAGTGATGCAATTGCTTCTATTTAAGATCGGTGGGTTATCGGAGGCGTAGTAAAACGCAAAATGTCTCTGTTCAAGGTCCTCACTTGTCGTCAATAGGAAAATTTAGGCAGAGTATTGATTTTACGTTAGACAAAATGCGTTTGCATAATTTTCACACGAGTCATGCGGGTTTAACTAAGGTGACCGAGGACAATGTTGTTATCGCGTACTTTAAACATCGTCATCGTTCTCGCAATTCTTATTGGGATGAATCATGATAGTAATTTTGTAACCATTTATTGAAGCACGTTACAGTCGTCCGATATTTCACTAATCCTCACAAAACACACACTAAACAGTACGAACGTGTTTAAAACGAGTAATTCTCCGAAGAAACGAAAAAAACTCAAGATAAAAAGTGCTGCGCCCCAATCGACTACACAATACGTAAGCTATTAAAAAAACTTTACACAACTAGTGAGGGAATGCTTATAAAAGCGCTGCAGAGCTTGACAAAGCGGGATCCAATTAGTATACAAAAACTAACGTCTAATAAAAAGCGCTTACAGCGCACTAAAAATGTAATTCCGTCCAATTGTTATTATAATGCAGCCAACATCACGCACGCACTGGTCTGAAGTCAGTTACAATTCGAATGACGTTATTCTCTATTTCATTCTTCGTTACGTTAATAGAGCAGGACAAAGATACCATACATGCTTTTCCCGTAAAGTACATCAATGTTGCAAGTTTATTACAATGTCAATTGTTTATAGGGAAATTTGAATAATATTTCGATTAGTATTTAATGTGTAATTTGATTTTTAATAAAACAACTTGCAACGAGAAGGTCGCGTATATTAAATATTAAAACTAGTTTATCCGAAGACTTTTGTTAAAAATGTAATTTCATGATCAGAATATAAAAAAAATAGAATTATAATCGGGCGTTTTGACTCAAGAATAGTGTTAATTCGGGCAACAAAATTTGTTTTTGCCAAACCTCTTCTTTTAAATAATAAATTTTTATTAATTTAGGGTCCACGACGTCAGTCGCATCCCGTCCTTCTTGCAAGTATATTTGAAAGATAGACATAGGTCTATTGTCGTGGATATGTTTAAATCGCAGCGTACGTAACGGAAGATGAATAATTTTCCCTAGATTTTTCACATTTCCTACTGTTTTTCCGCTACTATGGGTCACAGTATGATGCTTTATAGCCTAAAGATTTCTTAGATAAATGCTCTAACCAACACGAAAATAATTTAGCGCGGTGAAACAAGCAGCTTTATAATATAAATTAAGAATGTGTAATCTTATTTTAACAATATAGAATATAAATTTTTATCTGTGACTCGCTCATCTCTGAGGATCATTTTGGCGTTACAAGTACTCATAAATTGAATTAAATTTATACCTCAATGTAACTTTTGCAAAATTTATTTCTCTAATATGGGTATGCTGTTTCAGTTTCTGATGATGTATTTATAGCCACTAAATAGTACGGAAGACGCACGGAGAACGGTGGTTCGGAACATGAAAAGAATTTTAATATTCTTATCACCAATTCAAACATTTTTCAAACGACGATCTAACATGGTTTAAAAACATATACATAAATTTTATCATGATAACCACGTGAAAATCGAACCCCTTGATTATTAGTCATTACAGCTATCGATTCCGCCAATATCTTTTCTGTGCCGTGAAAATCATTGTAAACAAGGCCGTTTATAAATAAAACAAATTTTAAAAAATATTGTATTTTATTTTTATACAGATTATATCTGGTAATCGTTGGGATCATATAACTCCGACAGAAGGCGGTAAATGTATGACGGAGAACTTCCACCTCTGAAATGAGAAACACAGATATAATAATTACTATTTTCATATGAAGGCGTTCTGATATCACCCACCCTAAGGGGAGGATATTAGGTTAGGTTGGGATATATAAAAAATTGATATCTGGTGAATGTATATTACTTTCATAAGCATATTCTTTTTTCGTGGTAACTAGCTTAGGAGGCCCCATTCTCCCTTGGCGGAGGATGTAGGGGAGGGTTGCAATATAAAGAAAATAGATATATTACAGTTATGTAGATTTTAATACAATATAGATATATAGCCAATACGGTAGATTACAGATGATCAATCGTCATTATATATTCTACTAGCTGTGCCCGCGACTTCGTCCCCGTGAATTATTAATTATTTTGGCTGTTTATGAATTTAGCCAATCTATGTTGTAAGTGCTACTTTGCCGCAACACTCTCACCTCACACCACGCCTACTCTAACTCCCACTCCTACTCCTATTCCCAAAAAGCCAAAGAAGAAAGTTTCATTGTTTTAGCTTCAAAAACCACGAATTTCCATAAACACTATTTCCCCTTTTTCACTACTATCCATTTTGTGGCATTAAAAAGTCTATATCCTTTCTTAGGCTCTAAAATATCTGTGCACCAATTAGAGACACAGGTTTAAGGCAAATTAGTTCAATCAAATTTCTGACCAAATCCCCCCCATTCTTCCACATCTTTTGAACAAATTAAGTGATATTTTACTTACAAATTGGTGATAAACAGCGTCACGTGGTCCGGCGGGACAAAATCGCACATCGGCGCATAGACCTGCGTTAGGGCACTCTCACCGCTCCTAAAAAAAATCATGAAAAAAATGCAGCAGTTTTGCAACAATATTGCAATTATCTCTGTTTAAATCCCACAAATGTAGTTTGATCCCTTCAAATACTGCCTGTAGTTTACGCGAGTGGTACACAATAAAAAAATTGTTTAAAACGCGATATATTTTAGTTAAACTTGTTTAAAAATTATTTTTAACGACGGCCCGACATTTCGGATACTTTGCAGCAGCCGTGGTCATGACTACTGCCATGCCATTGCCATGGCAAGTTTAACTAAAATATTAACGTATAAAACATTAAACTGATTTATTTAAATTGATCTCTTTATATAAAAATAACTGTGTAAATTCCAAATATCCAGAGCCAAAATGGGCCGACAGCGCATCTTGTATATGGCGTATTTCACCTTCCATCATTTAGTGAACCCTTTGCTTGTCTGTCCTCTATCATAAATGGCCTTGTGCTCCCTTCTTGGGTTATGGAAAGAGCACAATTGTGTGTCCACTTCACTGATTTTGCTAAGACAAAAGCAGGTGATAAGATCTGTGTCCTGCCCAACCGAACCAATAATACGTTTGTTTATTCAAACCTGTGACACTACAAATCGTTATAAGCAAAATAAAAAAATTTAAAAATTCAAATAAAATAATTTTAACGGTTTAAAACTTGAAATATATTAGTTTGATACATTTTCGGTTTATCTGTTGCTGCAAGGCATACAAACGTCGGGGGATTCGAAATAAATTTAAAGAAGTTAACTAAAATATTTCGCGTTTTAAACAGTTTTATTTGAATTTGTATTACTCGCGTGAACTACAAATAGATCATATGTTCATATGTTAATCACAGACTCACATATAAGGCATGGCCGTATATGGCGGCGCAAGCGCATTGAAATGCGTGTGATCGCACGAGTGCAGCGGAGACAGCTTGTACAATGGAGATAGGACGACCACCTATAATGTAGAACAACATACTTAGTTTTGTCTTAGTTTACGCTAACATACATTGTAATAAAACACTGACTACATTATATAATACATATTAATAGCGTATCGTTATTATATATCGCGTTTTGAACCGTCAATAGTTTTTGAGTAAAATAAAATAATTGAATGAATTTGTAAATGAAAGTTGATTTCAATTCTGAGTTCTAAATTCTCGTTAGAGCTTCAGGATATATTGATATGCATTGCGTTTTAAACCGTTTAAATTATGTTGTCTTTGTTGTTTAGTAAATTCCGATTCTTCAGTCACTAATGTCTGGGTCATTTAACTATTAAGAAAGAAAAAAAAAACATTTATTTACAAAGATAATCCATTCAAAAACATATAAAACTTATTACTAAATAATTAAGTTAAGATTGGCATATTAAATAAAAAAGAAAAAAGAGCAAAAAGTATATTTCGCGTTTTAAACCATTTTATTAAGTGTACATCGCAGATAATACTTGTGATACTTACTGGGACACTGTAGTGTCTTGCAGCTGTAGTAACTGCGAGGAGACCGGCTTCACCTAGAACGGCACCACCAGCTAGTGTACTACGGACACCTATCACGACCTGTGGAAATAATAAATTAAAACATTTTTAACGGTTCGATACGCGACCTATATTTGAAAATCTCGTTAGTCCTTCAAGTATGCCGATATTCCTAACACGTTGGTGGAAGACGGACTCACGACTAATATTATAAAAGTTTAGAATTTGTTTATTTGTTTGCCGGAGAGGGCTTTAGTCGGTCTGCGACAAATAAGAGAAAAGAGATAGAGAGAAACGCGGAGAATACTTCATCTTCATCTTTGCGGGCTTCCATGGCGTGATTCTTCCTTAAATGATCTAAAAAACAGGTTCGCGACAGTATCTATCTTTTAAGATATACTTGCAAGAACGACAAGTGGCTGGCACAGCTAGTACCTTATAACATCGTTGATCGATATTTCTACCAACAACTTGATATTATCAGGATTAGAACATTCTGGATTCACCCAATACTAGGTAGAAATCGTATTTTACCACCTGGCACATACATTCCTATTGGATCAAAGAGGCTGTTGTTCTTGTTACATGCTTATTCATTAAGTGTTACTCTAGATATCGTCTTTATTGTGTCTGTTGGAAGCAAATAACTTACCTTGTTGACCCTGGGCATTAGGGCACCAACTGCAGCTCCATTCACCAGGGTAACACTGACGCCCTGCGAACTCAATCTGGTCGCCATCGCTGCACTCTGAAATTCAACGAAATTCAGTTCTTTAGCTATTATCTAGGACATTTCATGCTTGATACAATCAACCTACACATTTAGTCGAGCTACAGAGATTTAAAATTTAATCAGTTGGGAAAGTGTATTATTAATTTATTACTATAATAATATATAAAACTTAAGAGTTTCTCTGTTTGAAAGCGCTTATCTCAGAAACTACTGGTTCCAATTAAAAAAATCTTTTTGTGTTCGTTAGAATAACTTTACCGAGGAAGGCTATTAGGCTATAAAACATCGCGCTGTGACTAATAGAAGCGAAGATACATCGGGAAATTTGAACAAAACGGGGGAATTTTTCACCTCTATGGGTTTCAGATGCGTACGCTGCGAAAACGGTTCGAGATACCCAAACAATATGTTGGAAATAATGATTTCTCTTTAAATTATGTAAAAAAAGTCCGCTATATGTCTATCTTCTAAGATTAACTTGTACGAACGACGGGAAGGGACCGAAGTTCATAACGAATTTGGATGACCGAAATAAATATTCTTAGCGGACGACGTCGCTGGCACAGCTAGTTATAAAATAAATATATAAATAAAATAAATAAATTAGTTAAGTTAGTTTATATACCTCGGAATGCTGTGGTCCTTCCACAAGAAGTAATTTGGGTTTGTTAGTTCCAGACGCCTTTAGGAACTTCTCAACTAAGTTGCTAGATCCATATGTGAGTATGAGCTCATCCGTATGAATATGTTCCTTTGCTTGGCCACAAATGGCTGAAGTGCTCGCTTCTAGTTCACCGAGGAGCTGAAATATTTTAATTCTTGATTAGGACCACTTCGATACTCGAAAATGCCTAGTATCTGGCTCGAAGCACCAATTTTATATAGCTAAGCGTGTCATAACAAAAAAAAAATTAAAATCTCAATATCCAACCTCAGCAATATGGTCTCTTATAGGTTCTCTAAGATCATGATGGGATGGTAGTGTGGCCCGTCTGCTTGGTGCGGCTAGGACCAAACGTTGTAATGAATCACCGGAATATTCACTGCTCTGAAACAATAAAAAATATTTGTTCTTATAAGTGAGGATGATAGATACGCTATCTATCTAGACAAGATGCTCAGTCGATCTATTTCAGCTTTATAAATCCACAGATTGAATTGTTAAAGTTACCAATTCATGACTCGGTCGGAATTTTCATATTTCAAATACTGTCTGTAGCTTACGCGAGTAGTACGCATTTAAATAAAACCATGTGGCGGAAGACTCCCCATGACTACGGCTGTTGTAAAGCATCCGAAACGTCGGGCCATAGTTAAAACAATAATGAAATAACTTTCACAAATATATATCGCGTTTTAAACCGTTAAAGTGTTTTATTTAAATTTTCATATTCCTACCACCATCCAGTTTTTTAACATCGAACGTGTTTAATTACTTGTCTTTCACGGCCATCGTTGAGCATGTCATTGCTTTTCGGGCTGTTCGGCTGACGTGATCGAGATGAGGTTCTCGACGTTTTGCCATCAAGAACGATTAATTCTTCGAGCAATGAAGAATAATGCCATCTGCTCGTGATGGCAAAACGTCGAGAACCTGTTCTCGCTCACGTCGGCCAAACAACCCGAAAAGCAATGATATATTGAACATGTTTAATAGAATATTATAAATTGATTTTAAAAAACATGTTACACCAGGTAGTAATCAAATCTATGCCACATTGATAGAACCATATATTGCTGCCATTGGACTAGCGAGGACTATTATATATATTTGATATTTATACTTGATTAGCTAATGCTCTCTGTTCGTCCCGGATAGCTCTTAGCACACGCCGGACCATGTTGGCAGCGATCAGCTCGTGGGGCAACGCTTTTGTGATACGCCGACCAGTGGCGCGTACTGCGTTTACGAGAAATCTGCAATTAAAAAAAGTGGTTTTACCCAGAATATTATGGGGAAATGGGTGAAATAGTAGATAATGTGGACTGAGTCGGCCTTCTTTCGGTGTCCCCCATTGGAAATTATTAACCCAGAAAGAATAACACAAAGAAACAAGAAGCTAGTCATGTTAGGGCTTGTTTAGTATAAAATGACCATATTTCACGTTTTAAACAGACAAAAAGTTCTATTTAAATGTTTACCACATTAAGTTTGTTTAAAATATATATTATAAGTGAAGTACTGTATTAATAAATGCATGTTTATAGTGGACTTATTCTTTCATTTATATTTTAACTAGCTGTGCCGGCGACTTCGTCCGCGTGGAATCACTATTGCACAAGTCACTACTTGGAATAAAGCTTTTAATATTTTGGCTGATTATTAATTTATGTAAGGGCGCATTTAAGGGAGCCAATCTATGTTGTTAGTGCTACTTTGCCACGAAACTCTCACCTCACATCACTCCTACTCTAACTCCCACTATTCCCAAAAAGCGAAAGAAGAAAGTTTCATCGTTTTAGCTTCAAATACCACGAATTTCCATACAACAAACAACTTACAAACTTTCATCCCCTATCAACCCTTTTTTGGCATTTAAAAGTAGCCTATGTCCTTTCTCACCCTGTAAAATATCTCTGTATCAAATTTCATTTAAATCAATTCAGTAGTTTCAGAGTTAAAGCTGGTGAGACAGAGAGACAGAGTTACTTTTGCATTTATAATATTAGTGACAAAAGGTCATTAAGAATAGTGAACTGCATAATGTAGATACTGCAACTCAAAATCTATGTCTTTAATAAAGCAACGATGCATTTTAAAGATTAACATAATGCATTCAATCAAAAATTTTAAATTATTCAGTTTTAAAACAATTATTACAAATACTTTTTAAATAATGACTTTATAACAAACACAATATATGCTTGCAGCCAAACCGTAAAATCCACTAGCAAATTGCATGGTCAAAATAATAACTTTAAAATGACATCCTCTTCACGCCTCCCCTGAAGCATGGGGCAAAACACATAAATGTGCCCATAGTGCTGATCCGTTTTATTTATAGTTAAGTAGTTGATCAGACTTCCGTGCCTTGCCCCAGAGAGTCTGGTCCTGGATTAAAGACCAGGGAATTAGATCTAGGACCTGCTCTAACACTTAAGAATGTTAGATTAGGTAACAAAGTAAATATAAATGCTGTCAAATAATAAAGGTACTTACAAAGCGCTTGTGTTAGACGCATCTGTTATTATTTGTTCCAACAGAGTGACCGTTGCCACTGCAATTTTATTAGATCCCTGCAACTTTCTGAAATAAAGAGAAATGTTACAGACACAGACTATGCATTTTTTGCAGGTGCTATAGGGGTATTTCAGCTTCCATCAAATAAAACCTGAACTCATGTCACCAAGTGTCATGGAAATAAACTTTATTTAGTATATTCTTAATGTATAAATCTATACTAATATTATAAATGCGAAAGTAACTCTGTTTGTCTGTCCAGTTTTAACTTGGAAACTACTGAACTGATTTAAATGAAATTTGGTACACAGATATTTTAGACCCTGGGAAAGGACATTTTTATTGAAAAAGGGTTGATAGGGGTTGAAAACAGGGATGAAAGTTTGTATGGAAATTCGTGGTTTTTGAAGCTAGAACAATGAAACTTTCTTCTTTGGCTTTCTGGGAATAAGAGTGGAAGTGCGAGTGGGAGTGAGTCAGTCAGAGTAGGAGTGAGTGTACGAATGACAGTGGGAGTTAGAGTAGGAGTGATGAGGTGAGAGTGTTGCGGCTCAGTAGCACTAAGTAGCAGTTACAACATAGATTGACCGCCTTAAGTGCGCCCTTACATAAAATTATAAACAGCCTAAATAATTTAAAACTATTCCCCAAGTCACTATTCTACGCGGACGAAGTCGCGGGCAAAATATTTATTTGCATAGGAATTTATTTAATATGTATGTGAGTTATATTACTGTAGTTTTTTTTTGTGGTTGCTTCTATTCATTTATTAGTAGTAGTGTCCTCTCTGACTGAAACTACACAGAAGCAGTGGAAACAGCTGATGAAATTTTATGTATACCAGTATACGTACCCCGTTCGAATATCCGACACGAATTTCACAATATTTTCAATGCTCTTCTCGTCTAAATCTTGCAAATTACCCTCTAAGGGAGACATTGTGAATGTTAAATTTGTTATTTAGTTTATATTATTTTGTTTAATTATATTATTTTCAAACATAACCTATTAATCTCTATTTCTGAAAATATGACAATTGACATAACTGAAAAGTAATTATTACAATGATATTCGTAATACATTTCATATTTTAATTATAGGAAATTGCTGATAAAAAATAAATGTTGTCGTTTTATTAAATAACTAGCTTTGTCAGCGACTTTGCACGCGTAGTATAATAATTTTGGATATCAATTTTTGTTTTTGCAAACCCCCTGTTTTACTATATAAATATATGAGCTATACCCACGACGTCGTTATTGCGGGTTAATCTTCAAAGATTGACATAATATATTGTCGCGGACTTTTTTTTAAATCATTTGAAGAGGAATAATTTTTCAAACATATTTTTTGCGTATCTTGAACCGTTTTCGAAGCGTACACGATGGAAACCCACAAGGATGAGTAATTTTCCCCGTTTTTTCGACATTTCCCGCTGTTACTTCGCTCCTATTAATCATAGCGCTATGAATTTGGAGATTAGTGCGTTCAAACAAACACACTCTTCAGCTTTATAAATTAGTATAGATATTATTTATTTATTATATTTACTTTTCAAAAATATTAAACATGTCAGCAAGACAATCCCTGACATCTGTTAAAAATGACAGCTGACAGTTGCAGAGAAGTCGGTGATCCTATTCAAATGAATTGTATCGATCCTCGGAAGGATTTAATAAATATATTACTTTTAACCGGCTTTCACGTTTAAATTAAACAAAAGTTAAACACCCTTATTCTCAATGATCTTACTTATAAATCCTATAAATCGCTTAATGGCTCTAGGTCTGTGTTATTGTGTATTGTATTTCTGCAACGCTTGAACGGTTCGCAGTAAATAAAAATGAGTTAAAACGGAAATAATTTTGGTAGGAGTTCACAATGGACCTTTCTCCGGACGAGGAGAACTTCCAAGGCCGCTTGCTGCATCAGGTATTGTTGAATTATTACGTTAAAGAAGTATTGTCGCTCCTAACATAAACAGGGTAGGGTTTGTTGTATCTTTCGCAATTTTATGTGAATCATGCCGTATTGCCGACTGTTTATGCTATTGTTTCGAAAATCTGTGGGCAGAATACTAAAATACATCAGCTAACATATTTTTCTTATATGCTTTTCATATAAAACTCTCTAGTTGGCTGTAAAGTAAAGAAAGAAAGTTATGTTTTGGCCACATTTACACCGTATTAATTATAATTTTCTTATAAAACTGTGGTTATAATACTTTTTTTAATATACTTAAGTTTATATGTAGTGCACAAACAGATAAAAGATTATCAAAAAAACAACTTATTTACTTTTGAAACCTTTATTATTTTTCAACATGTTATTGCACATGAAGGCACTATATAATTTAAAAATAGAAAATGAATTGAAAAAAAATTCGACTCAGGCAGGACTTGAACCGGCATTGTCAGCGCTCTGTGCTGTTGCTCTACCAATTGATTTTTTTTAAATTAACTTACTTAAAAAAAGGATTCTGTCATAATATTCCCATGTAAATAAACTTGTTTCGAAAAAGTGCCTGAAGTTTGTCTGTTATATTATTTATATAAATAATAGAGAAACACCATTATCATAATTTACATAATAACTCATTATATAGTAAATTTTTAATTATATAAAGTTAGCCAAGTTATATAAAGTAGGTCAAGAGAATTTGTGCTCACAACTTTGATAATTATGAGACTTAAATACTGTCTATAGTTTACGCGAGTAGCATTTAAGTAAAACACTTTAGTGGTTTAAAACGCGATATATTAGTTAAACTGATTCACACTGAGACACAGCAGTCTTCCTGTGACCACGGCTGCTGCAAAGCATCCGAAACGTCGGGCCGAAGTTATAAATAATTTTCAAATAAGTTTAACTAATATATCGCGTTTTAAACCGATTAAATTATGAGACTTATTTTTACTTGCAAGCTGGTTAATATGTTAAATTATTTTTTGAACTTACTCCTGACTTGAATTATATGTAAGCAAACTTACAAAAAAATTACATTTTTTATACATAGACATTAGTTTGATACTTTTCGGATTAGTCGGTACTAAATGTATAAATGACTAACTTTTATCATATGAAATAAAACCTATGTGGTTTTGGTAAAGATTCAAGATTAGCAGAAACATACAGATGGAAAATAAGGACAACTTTATTTCCTGTCTTTACATAGCCACCTCCACAGTTCAATGCTAAAACATGTTGCATAGCTTTATATTAAGCACATGAGGACCTTCGAGAGAGGCTTCGAATCCTATGTTGAAAATTGATCCAGGGTGTGGTACCAGGCTGTATCGGAATCTTACATATCCTTACTACCTTTATCCTCCACTAAGACGGAAAGGAGTGGGTAAAATGGTCGACAGACCGTGTGGAGTAATCTCCCAGTCTTCTATTGGTGGCCTCTCAAGACAATAAATAATCCTTACTACACATAGTTAGATCCAATGTTTTGCTATACTAATATATGTCTTCCAGGCCGCTCTATGGGACAATATAGAATTGCTGCAAGAACTGATTGCAAGCGGTGCTGAAGTTGACGCTCGTGATCAGCATAATCGTAGCGCGTTACATGCAGCAGCATTAGCGGAAAGGAGCAGCTGCCTTCCAGCGCTTTGTGCTGCTGGAGCTGATGTTAATTCTAAGAGCGACGAAAGTACAGGTGGAAAGGTAATCTTCCTGCTTAAGTCTGTGGATATTTTAAGACAAGTCAAAGTAAATGTCTATATAAATTAAAACGGCAGACATATATATTGAAATGAGAACCAACTTTTTTTTTGAAGTAGGTTAAAAATTTCCAGGGCAGACTGAGCTCGAACCCACGACTATCGTTGGTTCATCAGGGATCATCTTTTTTCACAAGTAAAAATCTGACAGTTCTTTAGGCTCGAATCGGGTTTATTTCCCTTTTGTATGATCGATAATATTGTAAAGTAGTATATACATATTTAAACAAAACACTTTAACGGTTTAAAACGCGATTTGTTAGTTAAACTTATTTGAAAATAATTTATAACTTCGGCCCGACGTTTCGGATGCTTTGCAGCAGCCGTGGTCACGAAGGGTATTTAACCCTTCTGAAACTGAAGCCTGAATACTTCAGGGCCTTTTCATCTACACTTTGTGGATATTCTTACTAGTCATTTAATGTCCAGACATTCTTGGCGATAATAATCTCTCAGAAAACTTATGACTATACATTTTAACGGTTTAAAACGCGGTATATATTAGTAAAACTTATTTTAATTACGGCCCGACGTTTCCGTGGTCACGAGGAGAGTCGTTTTAAACTGTTTAAAGTTTTTTATTTTAACATGATTCATATGATTTGTGACATATATAGTATATACATTCAAATATGTATATTCTATATCTTAATCGTCAGACACCACTGCACATAGCAGCTGAACGGGGTCACGCTGAGAACATCAGCGCGCTGTTATCAGCGGGCGCTGACATAACAGTGCTGACTGCGGCCGGAGACAGCGCGCTCACACTGGCTGAAAGATCAAGGCATAGGCATGCTGCGAACGTGCTGAGAGAAGCTAGAGGTTGGTTGAATTTATACTAAAATTATTCCTTCCAAAATGTGGGCAAAATATGAATGTGTTTGATGTATATGTATTATGTATGTGTCCTTAATTTCTGTCAATTTTTTTTATTGTTTTGTTTTGTGACAATAAAGAATATTTGTGTTTGTTACTCTTTTACGCAAAACACTGTCCGACGATTATTCATGAAACTTAACAACGATCGTATTAAATACTGTCTATAGTTTACGCGAGTAGTACACATTTAAATAAAACACTTTAACGGTTTAAAATGCGATATATACTAGTTAAACTTATATGAAAATTATTTTAACTACTGAAAGACTGACCTCCCCGTGATCACGGCTGCTGCAAAGCATCCGAAACGTCGGGCCGTAGTTTTTCAAACAAGTTGAACTAAGATATATCAAGTTTTGAACCGTTAAAGTGTTTTATTTTAACGATCTTATCAATTTAAATAATACACTTTAACGGTTTAAAATGCGATATATTCAGTCTCCCCGTGACCACGGCTGCTGCAAAGCATCCGAAACGTCGGGCTGAAGTTAAAAATCATTTTCAAATAAGTTTAACTAATATATCGCGTTTTAAACCGTTAAAGTGTTTTATTTAAATGTGTACTACTCGCGTAAACTATAGACAGTATTTGATCCTATTACTTAAAAATCGAGTATAAATTGAAAAAAAGATACGACTCGGGCAGGACTCAAACCGGCATCCGCAGCGTTCCGTGCCAATTGCCATCATGTGCAATATTTTTCACATATGAAAAATATTAAAGTTTTCAACAATCTTATTATTAAGTAATTGTTTCCCTTATGGCAGAGTAGTAGTTCGTATTTTATCAATAACATACTAGTTGTGTCGGCGACTTCGTCCGCATAGAATGCCTGGGCAGCCAAATTTGTTTTTGCAAAACCACGAAGTCGGTCGCGACCCGTTGTTCTCGCAGGTTAATCTCAAAAGATAGAGATATAGTGTCGCTGACAATTTTTTAGATCGTTTAAAGGGAATCATTCTTTCGTACATATTTTTCGGGTATATTGAACCGTTTTTGCAGCCTATGGTTCAGAAAACCACAAAGGTGAATAATTTTTCCCGTTTTTTTCCACATTTCTCTCTGTTTCTCCGCTCCTATTAGTCACATCGCTAAGTTTTATTTAGCCTATAGGCTCCATCGATAAATGCTCTAACCAAAAAATTTTTTTTTTTTCAATTCGAAATAGTAGTTCCTGAGAATAGCGCGTTCAAACAAACAAACTTCCGCTTTATATATTAGTACAGATCATTCAGTTTCAACACGGCTTCTTTCGGTCGACGAAGGACGGTTAATCGTGAAGCATCCGAAACGAAGGCTCGTAGTTAAAGATCAATTCACCAACATGTTTCGTGTTTTATACAGTTAAAAATGATTTGACATCGTGTTTTGTATGATGGATTTCTTTTAATGATAGCGGAGGAATATTCGAAAAGCCTCAGATTGTAACGGAAACGCGACGGAATTTCACAACTTTTGCACTGTGCACGTGTCATTTGAATAGAACACTTTAACGATTTAAAACGCGATCTATTTTAAATATACTTGTCTAAAATAATTTTTAAATAAGTTTAACCGATATATGTCGCGTTTTAAACCGTTAAATTACTTTAATTTCATGTCTACTACTCGCCTATACTACAGATAATATGTATGTCATTGTGAAAATGTGACAGAACAGATTTGCATTTCACTAGAATAATTTAGTTACCTCCGCTATCTTAATTATGCATCTTAAACACAAGATGATATAAGTTACCCGTTTGTGATAAGCCACAGTTCGCTTATCAACAGTTGGGGAAAACTGATGGCGTAATATGGCGCAACATAGAAAAACATCTTATTTTATATCATCCCCATTTAGAGGTAAAAATACTTTTTTGATACTACTTTAAAACAGTCAAATCAAATACTGTCTATAGTTTACGCGAGTAGTACACATTTAAATAAAACACTTTAACGGTTTAAAACGCGATATATTAGTTTAACTAATATATCGCGTTTTAAACCGTTAAAGTGTTTTATTTAAACAGTCAAATCGAAGGTATTGTGATCTATAAATGAACTAAGAAAATTATATGACCAAGAATGTCAATACTGGTTAGTATTGACATTCCTGGCTCTAGCCATACCTATACCATATAATACCTTGCTCTAGCCGCAAGCACATCAAACCGGATGTGCTTGTGTGCTCCGAGGAAGGCATCGGGCTTCGGCTTAGACGACCCCATGTAGGTGGCAGCTTAAAGAGCTGGACGGAATCTCACCCGGGTGAGCGGTACGCGGAAGAAATGACCTCGACTTTGCTAGCGAAGGCGGTGTCCCGGACGATCGAAATGTGAATGTTTAAATACTGTCTATAGTTTACGCGAGTACACATTTAAATAATCATAATAATAAATCATTTTCAAATGAGTTTAATATATCGCGTTTTAAACCGTTAAAGTGTTTTATTTAAATGTGAATGTTTGTTACGCCAAAAACTGTACAAGGGTTTCTGATAAGACTTAACAAAAACCTAATTATTAAATTACTCCCTTTAGTTTACGCGAGCACTACACTCAGAGCAGTTTGAATGCAACATTTTGACGGTATAATACTCGAAATGTATTGGTTCATTTATTTAGAATAAATATTTTGATTAGCGATGAAAGGACGAGGCACGGTATTCATATCAATTTAAATCTCAAATAAGGAAATAAATAAATACAAATTTACAATACACTTAATATGAATAACACTGTCTATTATCGTAATAGTCATTCCATACTGTTTATTCTTTAAACTGTGGTCATCTAAAACTGTATTTACTGTTCTTACAAAAACACGAGACTGTGCCGTTCATTATGATGCAAATAATAGTGCTTTAATATTGCACAACAATTAAATATTATTAGTATTTATTTATAAATATGTAATATTAAATAAAAAATAATTTATTTGTATTAGAACTCTATGACAGGGCTGTGGGTTCAACTTTGGTCTGCGTCTCATGGATGGAAATGTTTTCTACTTAAGTATTGTAACTTACGCGTTACACAGCATCCTTAACGTCGGATCCTAGTCGAGCATAAGTTAATATATTTCGTGTTTGAAACCGTTAAAAAGGCTATTTACTCAGTGGTACTGAAATCTTCCTGTGCGAGTCCGATTTGCACTCAACTATTTTTTAAGCATTGTAGTTTACCCGAGTAGTACAAACACTTTAACGGTTTTAAACGCGAAATGTATTAATTAACTTCTAATACAAAAAATACAGTCCTACGTTTTGGAGCAGCCGTGGTCAGGGGAGAGACATGTTTTGCGTTTTAAAACGTTACAATTGTGTTTTTTACTACTTTTAATGGTAGACGACAATGAATCCTGATGTACGATGAAACACCCTAGTTAAGTAATAATAAAACAAAATGCGCTGTCGACCCATTTTGATTTTAGTTATCCTGAAATCCACAGACTGAAAGCCACAGTGTTTCGTGACCGGGACGCGTCTTCGATATTCCCAACACGTATTCAATATCCAGACGAAATCCAACGTGTTTCAGAAAAATTATAAGTTGACTAGAAACGAATTGGACTCGATAGAATACGTACCCACGATTCGTTGATTATGAGCCGTATATAAAGAAAAGTGGTCATTCCCAATTGATGCGACAGATATGTAACGTGTAATGGCCCATCCACACTCTCTACGAGGCGATGCGAGGGAACGCGAGTGCGCGAGTGTGGACGGTGCGCTCGTGTCCCCTCGCCTCGCCTCTCTAGCGCTCCGCTTTCTGTCGGTATTTCGAGCGCGAGTCAAAGGACGCGAGAGCGCGCGGCGAGGGAGTCAACCACACTCACCCGCTCGCTTACTTATTTGTTGACTGCTGCCGTCCATCTTGCACTAGACGTAACGACTAACAAAATAAAATGGAGAGTGTGGATGACTAAGCACTCGTGCAGTCTCCGCTCGCCAAGACTCGTGGCGAGAGCCTCTAGGAAGCGCCTCGCGAGAGTCTGGAGCCGGCATAATACGTAACCAGTTTCGCAAAAACGGTGGTCCCAAGGTCAGGTAAGGACAGATGTCATTTGATACAAACGGCCATTAAAATATGCCCGAAGTTTTGGAAACTGTTATATTTACATAACAATACATACGATTTGGTGTTTATTTGCAGAATCGCAAGGCTATGGAAGTTTCTCGAACATCGGTATTGTAGTAATCTATACTAAAATATAAAGCTGAAAGGTTTGTTTGTTTGAAAGCGCTAATCTCAGAAACTATTGGTTCAAATTGAAAATGTCCTGTTTTCGTTAGTGAGAGCATTTATCGAGGAAGGCTTTAGGCTATGAAACATTGCGCTGCTATCCAATAGGAGCGAAGAAATAGCGGGCAAAGTGGAAAAACGGGGAAAATCGTTCACATTCGTAGGTCGCCGTTGCGTGCGTTGCGAAAACGGCTGAAGGTACACAAAAAAAAATGTATCACGAACGGTTCCATTTGAAGCGATCTAAAAAATGTCCGCGACAACATATTTTTACCTAAACTTGATCGAACAAAGAAATTTTATGCCCCAAATAAATATTGTACGCGAACGAAGTCGCGGCCACAGCTAGTAAATTAAATCTACATAAAAAAATACATATGATTAGGTTTTTATTTGTAGAATCGCAAGGCTATGGAAATTTTTCGTAAGTCGGGTTTACAGTACTAATCGGGGCTATAGCCTATAACCGATGGTTCCTGAGTTCGATTCCCGCTACGCCAAGCGCGTTTGTAAACTTACCGACTTTTCTCAACACATTTGGCTAATTATGATCATGCAGTTTACGCAATTATACATTTATATACACACTCCTTTTTTAAATCAAATACTCATCGAATCTTTCATTTTTATGTGACTCGGTAGCTCATTGGCAACGTACGAGCAACAACACGGAACGCTGTGGGTCTGTGACGTAATTTCTTTTTCAAACTTAAATAGATTTTTAAACAATAAAACA